ATTATTTTATTTATTAGTTCACCTTCATTCTCCCACAAATGTAAAATACTTGCTTTCATATCTCAGATTACTTTTTTAATTGCGATCTTAAAATCCAAAGCCTGAAACCACGAGCTTACCCCGCCCTTATGGGCACTTTCGTGTGGTGATGGTTTGTGTTTGTCTCACTAAATCAGTTAAGACTGAAAAGTGAGTTCCATCCTCACTTGGTGCTCCAAACTTTCGAACTTGTGCCACATCTAAGCTACGCTTAGAAAATAACCATTTAGACAGATTACAATCTGTAGCGATTGCTATGTCTTTCCACGCCCACATTTCATTCGCCTGCAATTGGCTAATAAATCACTACTACCTTTCTATAGGACAATTTAGCCATCGCAGTCGTTTCTTTGAATCCTTCAGTTTTGAGCTTGCTTGCTTGTTTTGTTAGTACGAATGTAGTGATTGGTTAATTTTTAACCAATCACATATTTTTAATGTAAGATTAACTTTTCCTGCGCTTCTGTGGGAACCTATCCTTTTTCCTTAAAAGAGGCGACTTTTTCACAAGTCGTCAGTAAGATCTAGTAAATTTTGCCTGTCTAAACGACTCCACAATCTTACTCATAACATTTCAAACGTACACACAGACAAAGAATTTTGTAATATAAACTCACACTTCTCTTTGTGTCTTAGCCAAACTTAATCAACAAGGACTCTGTTAATTTCGAACCATTCTATAGCACAACACATTTCTGATCAATTGTATTCTTGTGTTATCTATTCTAACAAAGAGACCTTTGTTCTAATATTGATTCCTGAACATTTTTCTCTCACGAAAACTTTCTTCGAACAATCATTTACAAATCAAAATACAATTAAAGGGGAACAACTTCTTTCCCTTAATCTATACATTGAATACAATTTTATTGCATGTTTTGTTCTTGTATGTTATTTCAATATATACTTGTTCTTTCACATTTGGAGTTTTGTTGTTTACTTGAATCCTGTACGTTGAAAGTATAATAATATAAATAGTATTGGCCCATCTACCCACGGGGCCATTACAAACCTTTCTGCCTTCGTGCAGAGAGGAATCCAGACGCGACTATGCCAAACGGCAGAGTCTCGTCTGGGGAAGTAGACAGCTACCGGACCCCGTGTATATGGAGTCTACAAGGAATTTTGCCTGAGCCCATGAGCTCGGAATCGCCCCACGCAAAATAAAAACTAGGCTTGTGTCACATCCCACCTTTGTGGGGAGTTCTGTGTAAATACCTAGATTAACCCCCATTCCTACTCATTTTTTAAAAACATAATTTTATAAAGTTTTAAATCGTTGCTAATTAATATATATATATATATATATATATATATATATAATCTGCCTGCAGTTTATCTATAGCCAGCCAAGTGTTGTCTGATGAAGAATTCTTAAATGAAGAATGGACACTAAGCACCTTGACTAAAGAAATTGGCAAAGCTGGCAAATTGTGTTCTTTGGGAATAGTTGGCGAAACATCGATGAATTATCAATCGATTCAAATGCCCAAAATGTAAGCATCAGTGTGGACTATGCAGAAAACATTTTAGACTTGACAAATGTCTATGGAATTGTAATCTACATTTCGAAAAACAGCCTCTCTAACAGTAGGACAGGTCAATTTTGGAACCATGGTATCGCATTTACTTTGAAAGTTCCAGCTTGACATGATAAATAAGAAAACATTTTTTTTTTTCAAATCCTTCCCGTCTTTTTGAGAAATGATTTTAAATTACTAAATCATTGCGCCATCATATAAGACATTTACTTACTTCAAAGGGGAGTTATACTAAACAATTTCTCTATATTATGATGTAATATCTTATACAGTGCAGTACTTTTTGTGTGATTTTCAAAAAACAATGCAAATTTAAAACATTTTGTCTCATAATTTGGGCCCAGCATTATTATTGTGTTATATAAACTATTATCTATTTTTTTTTGTTTTTATAAATTATGATCTAACAAATCTTATTCCTTGAGTAGTCATTTTGGTAATCTTTTATAATTTTCTTACACTGTTTTTACTTATCTATTATTGCCAAAAAATTACATATTTTGCATGTAGTGATTCATAATTAGAACTTTGATTTGAATATATTTTCGGGTAAAACTTCAAACTCATTTGCATCATGGCAGCAATTACTGGCTTTGTTTGCATATATTTGCTGCAAAACAGACATTAAATTGTCTTGGTTATTGCACACACAATGAGTCCTCAGTTGTGCAGTAATCGAGACAAGTAAGAACAACAAAAAAGGCTGTTAACAAGGTAATCTTCCACGCAAATCTAATCAGCAGCAAATGTATACAAACAACGCTAGTAATGGCTGCCGTTCCGTAACACGAATGAATCCAAACTTTTAATTTTTGATAACTTCAAAACAGTAGATGTTATCGAAATTTCTTTGTTATTTTCGAATTAAACATGTACATTTACACCTAAATATAATTACTCGGGAAAATTGTATTAGATAATTAGTGCGGGTCTTAAAAAGCAAATTAACCATATTTTCCAAGCATTGTATCTAATACAAAATATATTAATTTTATTCAGATTTATTCCTGTAGATAATAAAATTTTGAAGTCAGTTTTTGTAAGCAAAAATCTGTGGAAATTAGGGATTTCTGTTAATCTTTTAGAACGATATTTAAAACTAAATACTCAAAAATTAGTAAAAATTATGAATCTAAGTTTTGATGTCAGCACTTAACACATCAAACACCAGCTTTCATGTTGACTGGAATACTGGTTATGTTAAAAAGGGGAAAAATCAAACTGCCTTACAATAACAGCAGATTTTGAGGGTAGGTGAGGTTTCAAAATAATTCTCACTTGGGGAACTCTTCTTCTGGCTTTCTTGCTTTCATTTCCAGTCATATATATATATATGATATATTTATATATATATATATATATATATGTGTGTTTGTGTGTGTTTGTGTGTGTGTGTGTGTGTGTGAAAGGTTGGTGCAAAAATGCGTAAAATGTCGTTTTTGGCCTTTTTAAAAATGCAATTTTTTCAGGCCATCCTGAATATTGTCCATTGTATTTGGGTATATAATTTTACATTTCTACAAGTTTGAAGTTAAGAACAAAAGTTGAGTGTTTAGGGGATTTTTTTTTTTTTAATCATAGGCAATTTTGTTTGGATTTTTTCCAGTACATATCTAAATCTAAACTGTCCAGTATAACACAAACTGACACGTGAAGACGCTCTATTTAAAAAAGTTGAAACAGACACAGTATAAAAAACTTTTTGATGATGGCTTCTGAAAGCGTAAAATACTCAACCATTTTATAATTTTAAGATGTACCGGAAACCAGCAAATAGTTAGAAATATAAATCAATAAATAAAAAACTATTTTTTAATGTAGAATTTTTAATAAAAGAGTCAATGTTTATGCAATTTCGAAAAGCAAAGATGAATTTATTTGACAGTTTATTTGTAAGCATTTTACATTGGCAAAGAAAAAAGAAAGTAAGAGTTCATTATGACATGATTTCTCACTTTTTTAAGCATATTTGGATTATTTATTTTAATAGGAAAAGAAAAAAGAAAACAAGAGGATTGGATTTAGCTTTATGCTGCTCAGTGGCTGAAATGATAACGAGTTCATAGGTAGATATGCTCCAATATATAACGACATCAAATCTTATTTTATAGGTAATTACTGTCTCAGTTTTTATGTTTTGCAAACGTTTTTTTAAATCAAACAAGTCCACGAGGCACATGCTAAAGAGTTGACCGTCATCTTGTCTGATGTATTAGCCCGAGATTTAACGTTGGATCTTAATTCTCTCAAATGGTTTAGACGATTCTTTTCAAAGTTACTTATACTTCAGTAGCAGGTGCATTCTCTCACACACACACTATGTTTTCAACCATATATATATATATATATATATATATATATATATATATATATATATATATATGTTTTTAAATATGCGGCAGTTGATTCGACCAAAGGCGGAATGGGCAGCGCTGATTCTATTCTCCACGTCGTTTCTCTATTCCAGGGTGTTGATGTCAGAATGCTACCCAGATACGAGAACTGATCTACTTGCTCCAGCGGTTGGCTTTTTGACGGTGGTGTTAGTGTTTGGGAGCAGCAGTCCGGGTGGTGGTTAAAAATGAATAAAATTAATAATTTGGTTTTTCTCTTTGACCTGCATCCCAGGTCGTTCATAAGTAATTTTTGTGATCATATGCGTCTGCTAGTGACTGGAGGTCCGGGTTCTCTCTCTCTCTCTCTTATCATATATATATATATATATATATATATATATATATATATATATATATATATATTCACCAACAAAATATTTATTGTTTCCATAGTTTACTTTTTCCGTTCAACCAAGAAAGTCCCAATAAACCAGATGAATAAGTGTGTGTCTAGATATACTGATTGTTTCTTCATTGTCTTTCTTGTCTGTGTATGACAGTGGACATTGTGTGTTTATTGCTACATGTTTATTGAATTTCCAGTCAACAAAGAAAATCCCAAGAAAGCGAGACCAGCAATGGCAAGCCGTTGTGCCTGTTGTGCGAACAACCGATTGAAAATCTGTTTCTTCTATTTGATCAATCATTTCAATTTCTTTTAAAAATTTGTTCACAAAATCTTGGCAGTTATTCCAGGCACAATTATATTCCTTCATATTTTTTAATACCTCCACGCCAGTGAAAATCAATTTCAAACCAGTTGCCACTACATTTCCACATTTCTTTAATTTGTCTTCATTGATATTTTCAGCTGTTGTATAGAGAACAAGTTTTGAGTTCATTACTCGAAGCTCAATGGTAAAGAATTTTCCTTGAGATTCCAAAACAATAGATTCGTGTTGGCAAAAACCAGGTTTCCATCGATAAATGGTGTATTCAGCTTCTTTTAGAAGGTCAGGGAGTTTACCTTCGTTTTGAAGTTTCTTGATGCGTTCACACAAATAATTTAATTCAAACTTATAACCGGATCCCATACTCGCCATCTGAGACTGTTGCACTAAAACAAAAAATAAAAACAGATATTAAAATTCCCAAATATAAATGTCAAATTTAAAGACAACCATCTGACCTAAGTCACCTTTAGAAACAAAAATTGAAATCTATCTCTCGCAGAATATGATACTCACTGAAAGTTATGTGTGGCAGAGAGCAATGTGTGCCCTTGAAATATTAATAATTATTACTAATATAGAATTTTGTTTATAGATGAGAAAATAATCTGTGATGAAGTTTGTATCTAGAGAATCTGTGCTTCGTCAGAATTATTAATATAAAATGTCAAAACAATAGTGTTTTTATGAACTATGGAATACCAGTTGAGAAGAAGAGACTGTTCACTTAATCATGAAGTGGGGAGAGGTCAGTAATCAGTTTGTATTCTAAGTTTACGTGTGTATATGTGAGTGTGTGTGTGTGTGTGTGGATATTGAAGTCAACGCCCAACAACAGCCTGCTTCATACAATTTTCGGGCCATCCTGAATATATGGTGTATTTGGGTAGCAATTTTTACATTTCTACAAGTTTGGTTAAGAACAAAATTTGAGTGTCTCGGATATCTTTTTATATCATAGGCAATTTTCCTGGCTTCCAGTAGGTATCTAAATCGAAATTGTCCAGTATAACACAAACCGTTACATGAAGACGGGATATTTGAAAAAGTTGAAACAGACACAGTATAAAAAAAACCTTTTTGATGATGGCTTCTGAAAACGAAAAATACTCGGCCATTTTATAACTTTAAGATGTACCGGAAACAAGGAAATCGTTAGAAATATAAAGCAATAAATAAAAATACTATTTTTGTTAATATATAATTTTTAATAAAAGAGCCAATGTTTATGCAGTTTCAAAAAGCAAAGATGAATTTATTCGACAGTTTATTTGTAAGGATTTTACATTGACACAGAAAAAGAACGAAAGTGTTAATTATGACATGATTTCTCACTTTTGTTAAGCATATTTGGATTATTTATTTGTAAGGATTTTATATTGAGACAGAAAAAAAGAAAGGAAGGATTCATTATGACATGATTTATCACTGGTATTTCGGTGATAAAAAAGTTCATTTTTTAACTATAAAACTTTAGGATTTGAAATCCGCCAATATTTCTCAATTTTACGTGTTGAGTTTGAGAACCTCACTAACAAATTCGGGAGTTCTTTTCTTATCAGAACGATCAGAGTGAGTTTTCCGAGCTGCCATAGCTTCGTAATCATCACTAGACTCATCCAACTGCTTCCAAATCCTCTGCACATTGACATCCAAACAATCCAAAATATTCATATTAGAGCTTCCGGTGCGAATGCCTAACAGTACAGCATACCTTTTCCAAATTTCTGACAGTGTGAATTGCATCATGGCGTCCTTTTTCTCACAAACGGCGTCCAAACGACCCTACTATACTATGCCGTCGACAAAATCAAAAACAAACAGTGCGCATGCGCAAAATTAAAAATATAAAATGGCGACAATTTACCCATTGCATCTTGTACAATTTTTACATAAGCAATATCACCTCGCCGCTACAAACACAGAATTTGAAAGATTTAAAGTTTATAAAGGTGATTATTTTCATTAAAATTTAAAAAAATAAATGAAAATAATTCTTGTAAAAAATCATTATTTTTTCGAAATTTTTGAATTGAATTTGAAATGCGAAAATTAGTATTTTCTTGATTTTAAATAACTAATTTTTCAACGTATTTCAGTGAAATATTAATTTTCTAAAAATATCGTTTGTAAATATAGTTCGAATATATGAAAAAAAGTTTAAAATAAAACTAAGGCGCTATCTTAAACAAATAGGGCTGTTTCCTTGCAATGATGACTAAAAGTGACCTCCCTAAATTATTAATACTATGATAGTATCAAAATTAAATATTAATATCAATTTATTATGGTAAGATGGAACAATGGAAGTGATGTCATCATGCGCATGCGTCAGTCGAAGAAAAAGAACAAAATTTCTGTTGCAGCGAAAATATCAACAATGGAGCTACGAGTTTTATTTTGACAGTAAGAATCGAATATTTACAAACCATTTTACAAATGTTTAACCAACATTTCAGAGATCCATTGGAAAATACTAGGATACTACTGAAGTGGTATGATTGTCTGCAAAGGATATACCACAAAAAATGATTTCAACGAAAACGACATAGAACGAAAGCAAATGCACGACATCTTGAAATTTTATTAAAATTAAATAAAAATGATAAAACTTTGGCTTCGGAAAATGTACACCATTTGTTAACAACTGAGTCCGGGTCCAAATGTTTATATTTCTGAAAAGAAAAGAAACATACCACTTACTGCCTGGCTGGAGAGGAGCGCTTCCCATTAGAAGCTTTTGATCTTGTCCTTGGGTGAAGTAAAAAAAAAGACTTTTGTTTTTTGTTATATTTTTTAATTTTTTGTTTTCTTTATCTGAATTTTTAAAGACACCAGTCAGGTACCTAGGCTACTAAGTACATCCACTACTGCCAATCGTCTGTGTTTTCTGCTGTTATTATGTCATACTTGTTATAATACAATGACCTCTTAAAGAAAGAGTTTAGAGGAAAAGACATATAAAATGTCATATATGACAATCTTCATTAACACACAATTTTTGTAAAAATGTTTGCTGGTTATTTCCGACCAAAGAGATGGTGACCATCAAATTTCTATGATGTCAATGATTTGGCACTTATTGAGTGAGGATTCGAAATTATTTTTATGGGCACATATCATTTCGTTTCTATGGTGGCATTGATTCTAACTGGATGCCCTACAATAGGACATATATTTTGATGACCTTGTGTCTTCTTGTAAAATAGCGTAAGAAAACAACTAGAGAAGACCTTAGCATTTGCAGCTGCTTCGGGTAACACTGTCCTAAATCAGGACTAAATTTAGACAAGTGAGAAGTGCAATAGAAGAAACTGTTAGCATAGAACTTACGGTTAATAGAGTTTTTGCGCTAATCTAGTATTTCGCTTAAATTCCTAAAATTTAGGTTACATAGCGGAAAGCAATATTTTGTTTTGAATAATCAAAAAAATCTCTGGGGAGAAGGGAAGACTGGTCTTCAATCCGTCTTAGCTGAAACTTAGCTAACCACGATTACTAACCCAAATATACCACAGTATTCATAAACGAAAACAACTCACATTCTAACTACAGTCACCATAATACCTCCAAGTCTCTATGAATTCCTAACTAGTTCCAACATGTAGAATTTGTCTGTGGAGGTGGAAACAAAAATAACAACATTTAAAATAAAACCCTGATGAATATTTACGATTTATAAAATTATTACAGAGGAAAGTTCATCACATCAATTATCATGAAAGTATTTATAGAAGAGACAAAGGAAAGTTGCGTTACGACAGTGAGAAAGTGATTGAAGGCGAGATGCCAGATCAGTATCAATAACATTGCAGATTCTTTTTTGGATTTTATGAAGAATCTTTAAATATATAATGGAATAAATATATTTATATACATATATGTATAAGTATATAAATATATTTATATATATTAAATATGTAAATTGGGATGAATTAAGAAAGGACACGACTGGATTTTCAATGGAATTTTTTTAACTCTAAAGATTTAGAAAATGAAAAAAAAATTTTGAAATTTTCGAAAATTATTCGGTAATAAGTAAATTTATTTTTCAAATTTTTTTTTTAGAGTGTATGAAATATTTAATTTTTTTTTTTTTTTCAATTATTTGTTTGGTTATATAGTCTAACCGATTTCATTTACTTTCTATTAATTTTTCATAATGTTTCTATCATCCACATTTTGTCATAATAGCCGATATGCCAAAAAGTGTGAAATGTTGTAAAAACCCGGATGTACATTTATATTTTGAATCTAGCGATCAATGCACTTTCTATACATTTTCGTCTTAAGTGCTTCCTTTTTCGATTAAATTCAGTCAGTTATATGCCATGCGTGGTACACGCTTGGGCGATCATGTATTCTTCGACGAGGCAGATTTTTCCCGCATTAGGTTGCCATTTCTTTCTACGGTAGACCAGTTGTCATCCATTGCTATAGAACCCGGTCTGTCCTGCTATCCTAAGTGGATTCATACCTTTCCCAAGGGTATTAACACGAAAGTGAATGTAATGGATTTGACTGGAATTCGAACTCTGCTCTCCTATTCTTCAATTCGAGCCACTATCCATTACTTCACCCTGCCTCCTAATTATAGTAGTATTGCTTAAACCAAAATTATAGTCAAACTCATTACGAATAGAAACTAAATGGATTCAGTAGCTTGTTTTATAAAAGACCCCATTTGTGTTTATATAATTTTGTTCCAGTTAGCAGTTTCTAGAAACGCTAAAGAAAAGACAAACTAAAACAGGAATAAAAGAGTTATTCTCTTAAAAATTTATTATCGAGTAAAATAACATTGATTTTTTTTATAATGACTCAGCAAATCTTTGTAATTTTATTTCCTATAGAGCAAGATTAGTTTTTGATTTAGATGTTTTGAAAAGATTTCAGCATTTGTTAGTGTATTGACGATTTGATTAAACCAAAATAACGCATTCTTATTTACTATTCTTACTACAGTCACCATAATACCTCCAAGTCTCTATGTTGTCCAAACTAATTCCAATATGTACAATCTGTCTGGGGCGGAGAGGAATAAAAATAAGAACATATAAAATGATACCCAATGAATATATATATTACATATATATATATATATATATATATATATATATATATATATATATATATATATATAATTTTTTTAAAAAAAAATTATAACATAAGTATGTTATAAAATCACTACAAAAATAGCCATTTTGTTTCAACACACTCTGTGTCTTATCAAGTGATGATGTTGAAAAGAAAATAAATGGTTTTAAAAGTTTCAGATTAATTAACGATCCTACACTGGGGGGAAAACGTTGTTACAAAAGCTAGAATAACCAATCAAAAACGAAGTATAGAAAGATTCAAAAGCTTGACAACGAAATCCTGCTCT